TCAACAGCAAATCCCTTTTAAATTACATTGCTGAGGACATTGAGATAAGTATTCTGGCTCATTTAGAAACTCTGTGAGAGGGGAAAGGCTGCTATTTTCAAGCTCTCTATGACTAATGCTCATCCCAGCCTCTCCCTGCATGGTGCCTGGAGCATTATCTCCTTAGGGATGCTCAGAGGGCAGCATCATGGTGCCTCGTGCTGGTACAACACTAATATTGGCTGGGTACATCCTACTGGCAGATGTGGGCTAACAGCAGGGTCTGGGTTATTGCACAACCTTGGATTAGGGATGGAAATGCAGTTGCAAGATGGGAATGGGCACAATTGGAATGTGGCCATGTCCGAGGCAGGGCTGTGCCTCAATGGGGACATTTAAACCATGGAGGAAGAGCAGGAACAGAGCTCCAGCCCACAGCCCACTGGCTGTTTGCTTTAGCTCTTGACACGGTTTGGTGGACAAAGACCATCCTGTGTCAAAGCACATGTTGCTTTGGGCAATTAATTGCTCCTGAAGAAATCCTTAATTTATTACTCTGGTTTACGGGAATTAGCTTTGGGTTTGGAGGCGCTCCAGCCTGTGCACCCATGCTTGGCAGAGAGAGCAGCCTCCTACCCATGGGATGGCAGCCCCTGGGCTCATCTGTGCCTTTTCCACCTTGATTTTCTTGCAATAAACCAGGTCAAAGCAAGCAGATTTGCACTGACTTGCACCAGCAAAGCACCAGCCAGTTTTCCCTAAAAACCAGCAAAATCCTGCCTGAACCATGGACGTGCAAGGGAGCGCTTGTATCTTCCAGCACACCATGATTTGTCTCTGTCCTACTCTGTAAGGACTGCAGCACATGGAAGAGGTGTAGGCTGTGTAAGCTGCACCAGAGGCGATGGTGATGGCAATGAAAGCAGAGGGAGCATCGTGTTCAAAGGTGCTTTTGAATGTGAGGATGGACCTTTACTTGGGATGGGCAGAAAGCATGTGAGGGATGGAGCAGGGATAGAGCCGGGATGGAGCAGGGTGGGTGGTGGGCACCATGCGTGAACCATACATGAATTAATTTCAGGTTAATTATTGCACTGAGGCAATCGGGGCCGATCCCCATCCAAGTTTTGGCTCCTAAGGAGTTCGTCAGCATCCATGCTGGCGAAAGAGGGCATGGAAGCGCCTCCCCTTCCCGGAATGCCTGTGGTCATGGGGGCGACCGGAGCTGTAAATTAGCTCATGAGCTCATGAGGACATGCTCGGAAGAGCCAGCCTGTGCCGAGCTAATTCCAGCATTGCCGGGATTCCCCTTGGAGCGGTTGTGGCCATATCAGCTTTCCCAGAGGGTAAATGTGAGTTTGCCAGCAGCGGGCAGTGGTGTTGGTGAGGGGCAAGCACTGCAAAGGGAAAGGCTGGCAGCATCCCGGTGTGAGCACCTCGGAATGGGGTAGATGGAAACGGCCGGGAGCAGGCTGGAAAGGCAGCATGGGAGATAAGACCTTCCCAAGAAAAACTCAGTGCAATGCTCCCGGCATTGGCTTGAGCTTTGCTTCCCAAAACCAGGCCAAGTATGGCCACGGGGAGATGTCAGCACTGATGTTCATCCCAAGGAACACCAGGGTCGGGCAGTCCCAGAGCCTGGCTCGGAGCAGGTTTCTTGCAGGAGGGTAGGAACAGGGTGGTGGAGCAGAAGCTATGCTCCTCTGGCTTGCTTAACTCAGCATTAATGGCTTCTCTCCCCACTGAGCCACTGATCCCTCCTGAAATCAGTGATGTCCCTGCATAAAGGGTGGGTTTAAACCTTGAAAACTCCTTGGAGATATGAGACACAGGGGAAAGAGGTGCCAGGGAGGTTTTCCCTGCTTCTCACTCCTGGGTAATGCCTCAAAGGTCCCATGGGGCTTTCAGCTTTCCCCACGTCTCACCTCTCTCCCAGTGAAATGGAGGAAAACAGCCCTTGAATCTGGCCTGTGTTTGGAAGGGCCATCCAAAGGGAGCGCTGAAATATGGCCTTTGGGACACACAGTCCAATCTGGGAACATGGCGAGAGGAGGCTATTGATGTTTGGAGAATCACGATGGTCCCAAAGGGAGTAGAAAGAAGTGAAGGATAAAAGAGGGCACGGAAGGCAAAGACAAGGAGAGCAACTAAAACCCATCCAAAAATAAGGACAAAATGGTTCACTTCCGTGGGTTAGTCACAGTGAAAACATTGGGATTTCATAACTTCTTCCAGCTCAAGATAAATACCCAGTTAGGGCAGTGAAAGCCCTGGCTGGGTCAGTGTGCCGGAGCCAAAGGGGACCCATGGCCCCTCCATCAGCCCTATGGGTGATTTTCCTGGTTTACTGGGGGCCTGGAGCATCACAGGACCAAGGTGCTGGATGAGATTTCCCAAATTGATTCCCCCCAGCTGAGGCTTCCAGCCTGGGCAAGGAAAAGCTGCTGTGGGAAAGGTGAACAGCAAGTGGAATGGTGATGCACACTTGTGTCTGGGTTTATCGCTGGGTGATCATCGAATGGGGCTCAGCACCAAAGCCCACCAGGTTTTCTGGAGCTTGACCTCCGGGATTGGTCTAGGGTGATGGATTCACTCTTCTCTCTTGTCTAGTTTAGAGATGGGGAAAGTTTGCTCTGGTCGAAATGTCCTGGTGAGAGATGGAGGAAAGATCCTGAGAGCTGCGGCTCCACCTGGGAAGGGGTAAATCTGGGGAACCTCTGGGAATGATGCTCTGGGCTCCCCTGCCACAAGGGTCCTTGTCCTTTGCACCGTCCTGGCTGGGTGTGTGACCTGGATGTCCAGCAAAACCAGGAGCACCAGCCAGGGTATAAAAAGATGGGAATTGCAGTGGATTTGAGGATTGAGAACATGTTTTTCCCAGCACCACCATCCAATGGCATGGTACCCCTGCAGAAACGGCTCTTACCAGCGAGGTCTCCAGCAAGGCTTTCATATGCGAAGCTGAAGCAGAAAGAGTGTGTTATTTCACCCAGAAACGCTCCACAGACACAGTTTACCAAGATACAGAACCCGGTGGGCAGGAGAGATCCCTCCCTCTGCTTCAAACAAGGGCTTTTAGGAGGTGGACAGGATGACCCACATTATTCCCATGAGGCACAGCAATTATTGTCCCTCTTGGCAGGCTCGGCAGAGCGGCCAGGGCTGGGTGAGCAGGCAGAATGAGACACTGGTTTATCCCCAGTGACCGCTGCGCTGTGCTCCTCTGCCTTTGGCTGAAGGATTTCAGGGAATGGAGGCTGTTGGCGCACCACGGACCTGTGCAGAGCGCACAACCGGAGGCAGCATCGCGCCGCACGCAGCCCCGATGCTGTTTTCTCGAGGGGAGGATGAGTACTGGGAGCTTCCCAACCGCTTGACTTGTGAACTTTGGGTAAGGAGAGAAGCCGTTCCAGAGGTGAGCTCATTTCTAACCCCGGGAAATGACTTCATGGACGCTGGTATTTACTCACAAAAACATCGCATGTCAGATGTCCCTGACTAGACTTTCTGTTTCGGGTCCAGTATGAGACAAGAATTTCCTTGGACGAGCTGCTCCTGGGACAATTCAAGGTTTGGAAGAGGAGAAGAATTGGAGGGGGAATAAGAGAATAAAAATTGGCATTAAAAGCTCTGAAATCATGAGGTTTTTCTGAGCAAAGGGGAACTGCTGGGCAGCCAGCCCAGCACAAACACCCGAGGGTGCTGGGGGTGAGGGTGCAGGTGATGGGTGCTGCTATAGGATGGTTCTGCTGGAACAAGAGCAGTCATTTCCCCCCCCCCCATAACACTCAGCAGCAGGAGTTCCTCTCAGAAGTGAAATACAAGTTGTTCTCTCTTTTGTGAAGCCAAGACCCTGGTGGTGATTTAGGAGCACAAACAGCAGCAGGTTCCCTGCCACGTGTTTGCACTCGGCTAATGGAAATTACATCCCGTGCCACTTCCCTGCATGAGATCCCAGTTTCTACAGGATATCCGATGGAAAAACACAGCACTTGCCTTTCTCTTTATGGTCTGCTTATGCAAGAATTGCTACAGGGGCTGTAGTACCTGTTGAGGCTTCCTAGTTTCTGTTTTCTCCAGCATCCCGGCATGATCCGTATGGATTTGGGGAGAAAAATCCTAGTTGGGGATGCCGGGAGATGCTCTGGCTCCCTGTAACCCAGCGCTGGGCTGCAGCTCCAGGGATGTACTGGGGCAGCATCCCAAAAGGAGGGGATTTTGGGAAGAGCCAAGCTGGGGTGTATGGAAACAAGCCCTGCCTGCCAGCGCTGTTTCCTCATCCCGGGGACCAAAAGCCTCTGATTATTAAACCAGTGTTCAGAGCTTCAGCTGAAGGCTGCTGAGCAGACAGCATCCAAGCTGACCTTTGAGGAGAGGAGGGGAAAAAAGAAACAAGGGAAAACACAAGGGGGTTACTGTGCAAACACCGGAGGAAAAGAGTCATTTTCATGAGGAACCCCACCCTCCAGTAAGACTTATTGCTAACGCATGCCCAGGACATTTCTGCGTGATGGCATGTTAAAAACATCCTCTCTGAACAGGGACCAAAGGCTTTGCTGTGGCATGAGCGAGGCTTACAGGCCCCCAGAAAAATCCTGTCCCTCTCTTACATCATACAGTCAGGGATGGAGAGGACATTTCTAGACAAAAAGGCAGCCAGCCAGGAAGGAGGACAAACAGGGAATACATTCCTGACTCACTATTCAATTGCCTTCGTGCAGGTGCAAAGAGCTAAATGAAAGGGAAAATAAGGATGAGCATGTGGGGCCGATTTAATCTCATCTTTAAGCTGGGGCCTGACGCCAGGAGGAGGTGGCTGCTGGAACAAACAGGCTTCCATGCAGCTTCTTTATGGGTTTTGTGCCTTTTCTCCCCTCCAGGGACCAGGCTTTCCTGCGATGCTGAGGGGTGATGCCCCTACCAGGTAAGGAGGTGATGGGGACGGTCCCCTTGCACGTGGCAGGGGTGGCTGGTGCTCACTGGGCCCTGCACATTGAATACATGGATTGCCCTCTGAGTTTCCAGCTTGATCCCTTTTGGTTCAGTGTGGAAGTGATGGGGGGGTCAGGGGACTCTGATGGATGGTGGTGCCCCTCCTGGGTCTCAAGAGCTGGTCTCTCTGCCCTACAATTTGACTCTTAAACCCACAAAGGGGGAAAGTTCTCCTTTCTGCTTGTGTCCAGCAGCACTCCTGCTAGCAGAGCAGCCGCAGAGATGGTGCAACCCCAGTGAGACCTCAGGCATCTCCTCCCAGGGATAAATGGGAATAGATTTAATAATGGAAAACCTAGCCCAGAAAGGGAACCTCCTCTTTTCAGTGAACAGCATAGAGCCACCACCTCCGACCTGAGACCTGCAGTCCCCATGCACACTGTGTACTTCTTAATGTAATAGACCAGGAGATGTGAAGGTCTATTTGCGTGTAATTATAGTCCCTGTGCTGCTCATGGGAGAGTGTTCGCTGGTGCTGGCCACAGCAGGGCTTGGGGCTGGTCCTCTGTCATCCCCATAGCTCATTCACTCTTGCTGGCCAGAGGAGCAGGATGTCCTCAATTTCCCTCTCTGCCCTTGCATTGCACATCATATTTATTTAGCTCCTGTGAGCAATTTGTCCCTCCTGGGGTTTCACATTGAGCTCTCACTGCATTATGCTGAAAGAAATAAAGAAAGAACAAGGTGGGATCAGAAAGAGCACAGAAAAGAGATGTATATTCATTAAAATGGAAAAATGACCCAAGCTGCTTCTTATTAATTCCCTCCTTACAGCGTTTCCAGTTCAAGCACATTCCTGTGCTCATCAGTGATGCTCCTATGGATCTGTGTGGTCCAGGAGCATCGCTGTGCCACGTGTGTGCCTGTGTGTGCTATGAGTCTCCTGGTTGTCTGAGCAACGGGGTATTCATCACTAACTCCAGGGATAATTAACTCATTTCCCTGTATTTATAGAAAACTGATGCAGGGAGTGTTGGCACTCATCCCTCACGGGGCCACGTTTGGCCAATGCATCTTTGAGTTCTGGCCATTCCTTGCGATACAGCAGCTTTGTCATCACACTGCTGCCTGCTCATTAAGCCTGCAACCAGCAGCTCCTTAAGCCTGCAAGGGCAGGGGTGAAACACCACCATCTGCCTGCCCCGGGCTGCCCATGGGTGCCCACCTCCTGGTTTGCCAGCCCAGGGGATGTTTGCATCGGTGTTGCCATCTCCAGATGCCTGCGTTCGCCTGTGCTAAAATCAGCGTTGCTCCTGGCTCGCAAGGGGAGATTTTGCTGCTTTAAGGGGTTTGTTGCAGGGCTGTGATGCAAAGACGCGCTGGAGCATCCTGACTCGGCACCGCAGTGGAGGGAGACCCGTGGGGAAGGACAAGGAGCATCTTCTCTCAGCGTCGGGGCATGTGTATGCCAGGTACGTTCCCATCAGCTGGGACTAATGCAGACCTGGACACGGCTTTCCCCTTGTTTCTTGCACAGAGCCTGCAAGCAGCTTGGCACTTTTAAACTGCTTCTTTTTGCTGCTTGCTTGTTGGGTCGGTGTGTGGGGAGGGAGGGGGGTGAGGGCAACAAAGGGGCTTGGGGTGCTGGTTGTGGGGCTGGAGGAGGGCAGCTTGCTGCAAAGTATTGGCATCTCCATCCTGCAGAGGTGGGGAGACAGATCTGATCTCTGCTGCTCTTGTTATTTGCTCAAAGGTAGGGAATGCGGGAAGTGCTTAAAACCATAAGAGCCATACCTTGCCTGCGGCTGGGACTGTTAACAGCTCGTGTCCCTGAGAGCTGGAAGTATTTGCCCTTGAAACATAAGTTGTCTTCACGCTGTTGTTGTGCTTGGGCAAAAAGGGCACCAAAATCAAGCCATGGGGGACCACCACACTGCTCGTCACCCCCAGACACCCCCCATGTGGATGCTTTTTTGCCTTCACCTCCCCTTTCTGCTTCACTTCCTGAAGGCAAAGGGACCTCAAGAGGCGTTGAGCTGGTGATGCTCGGGCTGTGGTAAGGTCCAGGCTTTTAAATGCCACCATAATCCTTTCCTGAGAGGCAGTCAGTCCCCAGACAGTGTGGGGACCTTCTCACCTCCTGACCACCCCCAGTTGCTCCCACCCATGGCCCCGATGTGATGCTGGAGATAGAGGTGGACCATTCAGGTTTAACGTACTAATGGAAAGTGTCGTGGGGCCTCTAAAAAGTTGATCCCTGTTTGCAAAGCCCCTTTGGAAGAGCAAGTCCTTGAACCAGCTGCTCCAGCACAGGCTCAGCCAGCTCTAGTGTGACCCATTCCTGGCTGGGTGCTGGTGGGCAGCAGCTCATCCCTTAGTTCTGGCCACCGGTCCTGCTTCCCAGCTGCTCACCCGCCTCGCAAAGAGCTAAAAATACACTTCTGTGTGAGCAATCTCTATAGCTACGGCAGGGGTTAGCCAAGGAGGGCAGCCAGGCAGTGTCACCACGACTGGGAGATGTGGTGGCTTGGCAAAACAGGCAACACAGAGGGAATGGGCCAGGACTGGGGCATCACTGCTGGTGCCTCCCGTGCCGATCCCAGCATCTCCCCTTATATTGAAGCTGCAGCCCCTAAGAGGGGGATCACGTTGCTGCTTGTGTTCCGGCAGGGGATGAGTGACGAGCGGCTTCCCACATCTCCCCATGTCCCCATCACAGAGGAGGATGCCAACGCCTCCTCCTCCATCTGCCCCGAGCGCTGGGTCGAGCCCCGGTTCACGCAGGCGGCGAGGGTGCGGGTGATCATCACGGTCATCTTCTTCCTGCTGGCGGCGGGCAGCAACGCGGCGGTGCTGGGCAGCCTGCTGAGGAAGAGGAGGAAATCCCACGTGCGGCCGCTGCTCCTCAGCCTGGCGCTGGCCGACCTGCTGGTGACGGTGACGGTGATGCCCCTGGACGCGGTGTGGAACGTGACGGTGCAGTGGTACGGAGGGGACCTCTCCTGCAAGCTCCTCAACTTCCTCAAGCTCTTTGCCATGTACGCGGCCGCGCTGGTGCTGGTGGTCATCAGCCTGGACCGGCACGCGGCCGTCCTCCATCCCTTCTCCCGCGCCCGCCGCCGCAATGGGCTGCTGCTGCGCGCTGCCTGGGCTGGCAGCGTGCTCCTGGCTTCACCCCAGGTAGGGCTCCGTCCTCTCCCCATGTGGTTTGCCCAAGCTGGGTGGGTTTGGAGGAGGGCTTCCCCACCCTGACCGCCCCAGCAAGTCTGCTCCAATCCATTGGTTCCACCACCACCAGACTGGCTTTCTGGAGTGAATTTACTGCGTTGGGTTCCTTAGAGCACCCATTGCAAATCAGGGTATTGCATGTCGGAGCAAACCAAGACAAACCTGAGCAGATCCTCACCGAAATAACGTTTGCTATGGCCAGAAAATGGGGTTTCAGAGCCACCAGATCCCACCCATCCTAGCCATAGCCATGAGTTAGGTGCCCCGAGCACCCTTCCCAGCCCAACAGCAGCAGGGAGGTGCTGTCCATGCACATCCAGGAGCACCTGCAGGATGTGGTGCCCTGCTTCAAAGGCTCTCTGAGTTAATATTTGTTTCTCCATTTCAGCTTTTCCTCTTCCACCTGCAGACGGCCCCAGGAGGGAACTTCACCCAGTGTGTCACACACGGGAGCTTCCGAACGCACTGGGAGGAAACCGTGTACAACATGTTCACCTTCACCACGCTCTACATCACCCCCCTGAGCGTCATGATCGTTTGCTACACCCGGATCATTTGGGAGGTCAGCAAGCAGCTAAAGGTCAATAAAGGTAAGCAGGTCCCAGCCCCTTAGTGTCCACCATGACCCCAAGCCTGGAGCATTGTGGGGTCTGTCCCACCACCCTTTGAACCCCAACTAAAGGGTTTTACATGAATTTCTTGACCCCCTCTCCTTGCTGTCTTCTGCCTCCTGTGGGCCACAGACCAGAGCAGGAGCCAATGTCCCCTCTCTGGCAGAAGCACAGCCATGGATGGCTATGTTCTCCTGGTTTTCTCCCATCTCCCGCTATCCTTTTGGCTCTCCCCGGCAGGTTTGATAAGACATCAAAGTGACCACATCTCCAAGGCACGCATGAAGACTCTCAAGATGACCATAGTGATTGTTGCCACCTTCATCATCTGCTGGACCCCATATTACCTCCTGGGCTTGTGGTACTGGTTCCAGCCAGCCATGATCCAGAAGATGCCGGAGTATGTCAACCACAGCTTCTTCCTCTTTGGCTTGCTGCACACCTGCACCGACCCTGTCATCTATGGGCTGTACACCCCGTCCTTTCGGGAGGATGTGCAGATGTGTCTCAGGGGCATTGAAACAGCCATTACCAGGCAAGAGAGACACAAACCTGTCTCAGTCTCAGAGAAGAACACCAAGGATGGTGCAGTAAACAGCGGGGTGGCATCAGGATGCTCCAACGGGACAACTGTCAACACGGCCTGCTGAAGAGACATACCCACAAGGAGATGGGATGCACAGTTCTGGGGGCTACTTTGTCCCATAGGATCATTCTGAAGACTCATATGGCAATTTGCCACCCAGGTTTGGTGGGTGAGGGCCTGCGGCCAGAAGCTGGGAATGTGCCTCCTACCTGTACTAAGGGTGACAAATATTTGGGGGTATTTATGGACATCCTTCCATATTCTGGCAGCCCTGTGCCAACCAGGAAACCATCTTCTTTTTGCACCCTATGCATGCTCTGGCCCTGATTCTGGGATCAAGCATCTGCTGCACTTCAAGCATCAACCCCTGGGAGGAGCACAGCACTAAGAGGGGTCACCCTGAGGGGCTGCAGAGGTGCAATCTCAGGCTTTTACTCCATTTTCTCCACCCCTAGGGAAAGCTCTCTGGAAAGCTCGGATCTCCTGGCTCAGAGCCTGCCTGGCTCTCCCGTGGCTGTGTGCCAAGCCCTGGGAAGGATCTAAGTCTTTGGGAAGTCATTAGTGCTGAGCATTGGTCCTCCTGGACATGGTGGGAAGGGAGGAGGTGCTGTGGGGATGGAGGGACTCAACTGAGAGGGGTATAAAGAACCATGGTGGGATCAGATGGGATGGGATGGAGTTTCTTCTCCCTTTTGGAGGCAGCCAGAGGGGAACACAGCCCCTACTGCCTTGCTCTGGCATGCAGGGGGTTGTGCAAACACATCCTTACACAGCAGCTCTCTGGGACACAGGGTTGAGCAGATGATATGGGGTAACCAGAGAGCAAGAACCAGACTCAACACTGCCCAGGGCATGAGCTGGCAGCTCATCCACCATGTGTGTGCTCTTCCCATTCTTGCTGTGCCCTAAGAGCTTCTCCCAGCTCCAGCCCCTGCAGGTGATGCCTGGGATGTGTGAACGAGGCAGGTGATGGCATGGAAGGACCACCCTACCCATGGTGGGTGCTGATGGTCTTTGCCTGCACCACGAGGTCAAGAGAGGTTGCTGCAGGGATCAGCGGGGCTGTGGTGAGTAAATGGACGTTTTGTTTCTCATTCCTGTGCCAGAAGTTGCTTGTGAAGGTTGGGGCCTCTTCTCTGGGTGTGGGTTGAAGAGATGGGTTTGTTCAGCTGTGTTGCTGCCTTCCATACAATTAGGGATAATGGATTATTTCTTTGTTCATTCTCAGCTGGTTGTTATTAAATGGGGGGAGGGTGGTTTTGAAGAGTAATTTACTTTTGAGACACGTGGGATTGTTGATTTTCTTTGGGTTTGTGAAAGCTTTGGGCAGCTCAGGAGCCCGGCACTTATAGGAGATGGATTTCTGGGTGTTTTTGTGACTAATGCAGCTATGAATGAGCATCTGGGCTTTATCAGGATGAAAGAGCTTTGGTTTAGAATAACAAGTCTTGACTCTCTGTGGTTGCACATGTGGGGAGGCTGGGAGATGTCTCCCCAAGGAAGCAAATCCCCTTTGGACACCCAGGGGGGCTTTCTCAACCCTGCCTCCCAGAGGGGATGGATCCCCATCGGTCAGAAAGGGTCTGCACTGCTCTCCCAGTGCCCCAGCCGATTACAATTGGAGGGGTGGCAAGCAGTCCTTGCAGGTTGGCTGAGGCAAGGAGGATATGGAAAGCCACAGCGCTCAGGGTGATGCTGAGCTCTACACTGGTGTCAAGCACTCGGTTTTCCCCATGCAAACCATGATTTATGCTAAACATGCTGCCCGAATTGAGAGCAAAACTCAGTTAGGGTGGCAGGAGCCGAGGCTGGCTGGTGGGGATCAGTGTGAGCCCTTTAGGAAGCATCCAAGCTCCGAGGAGATGTGTCATCGCCGTTTGGCTTTCCTGGGCTCCTTCCACTCAAGGTTAATTACTCAACACCAACGGGGCTCTTGATGCCAGCTTGGCTCGACCGGTGCAAGAAGGAGTTTCCTGTAAGGTGATGGGAATGGCCTGTGGTAGGGGAAGCTAATCTATCCATCAGACACTCACTTGGTCTCTCTGTTTGTATTAGTGGTGGTTGCTAATGGGAGGCAGGCCTTGAAGGTGTGTTTGTTTTCTGGCAAGCCTCGAATAAGCAGGAAAGCGTCTTTAATCTCCTGAAAACATTCTTCATCTGCTTTGTGTTGAGTGGGAGGGAACAGGTCCAGCATTGCTCACACACTTGAGGCCGCTTGTCTCCTCTTGCCCAGACGCAGGATTGCTCAGAGACCTTCTCTGAGGAGCAAGAAGCATTCTTTTTCCTTGTGGGAAAGCTTTACACCCCATGGGTACAGTGAGAGGGCAGAAGCAGGTTTGGCTTTAGGATGAAGAGCAGGAAAATCAGGGTGCTGGCAAGGATACAGCCCTCGGTCCTTGGGGAAGCACAGCGCATCCCTTGGGATGCTTGCAGGCACTTCAGTGCTGCTCCTTCTGCCCACCTCTCGATACCTTCCCTCCTGTTGCTGGTGCTCAAGGCTGACATTCTGGGAAGCCCAGGGTGCCCACAGTGACAGCCTTCAGGTGAGAAGGCAAATGCCACCAGAAGAGAGCGCTGCCAAGACAGGAGCTCGATATTTGCAATAAAAGGGGAGCAGCATCTCCCCAGGGAAGCCAGGGCTGATGTTTCCCGGGTCACTGGGATCTGACCTGGGTCTCGGTCCTGTCAGCACTGGTCCAAAGCCCAGGCCTGGCTTGAATGTCCCTGTGTTTCTGATTGTGCATCTCTTAAATCTGCTCGTACTGAAGAGAGAAAAAGGTTTTTGCATCACTTGAGGAGAGTGAAACCTGGAGCCTCGCTCCCCCCTGCCCTGGGGCTGGTCCTGATTCTGCAGTGCATCCATCTCTGCCTCAAGCCCTTGGTGCCAACAGCACCTCCCCTCCTCAGCTGCCTCCTGAGGGGAGACTGAGATGAGCTCTTAGGCAGAAGCTCTTCCCTGTGAGGGTGCTGAGGCGCTGGCACAGGGTGCCCAGAGAAGCTGTGGCTGCCCCATCCCTGGCTGTGCTCAAGGCCAGGTTGGACACAGGGGCTTGGAGCAAGCTGCTCTAGTGGAAGGTGTCCCTGCCCATGGCAGGGGTTGGGACTGGATGAGCTTTAAGGTCCCTTCAACCCAAACCATTCTATGATCTCTCCATATATATATATATATACACACATGCATATATAGAGATATACACACACAATTACTTATATTTTTATATATATTATTTATTTCCCCTTATGGGAGGCAAATTCTTTCACTTACCCCAATTCTGCCCATTCCTCCCCAGGAAACACCCGTCATCACACTTCCTGCAGTTCCAGCAGGACCACATTTGTCTGACTTGGTAACGGTTCCTGAACGCTCACCGCAGTACCATCATGAACATATTAATAAGCACAGGTAGCTCTATAGTTTACAACTTCTCGACCTCACCCTGGGCTGCCCACTTCAGCCACAGCGGTCCTTTGTTTGGGAGGAAGATCTGATTAATTCCCCATTAGCATTTTGATAGCGCTGTGCGTGCTCAGAGAGCCACACAAGTGGCTTAAAAGGTTAACGGGAACCTTGGGTTAATTCATAATATTGTTGGTTACTCAGCACAATGCTCGCATTAGTTCGGCTGACTGCGTCTCGCCACGTTGGGAAGCACATGCTGGAACCAGCAGGGAGCACAGGAAACAAGCCTGGGAGCAGGGTATTAGGTCTTTTGCCGGCCTGCTATGGTAGAATCTGAGCACCTCAAACGTATTCGTTTTCCCATTGCCTTTGAGGACAGCGCTACCCAGCTCCGCAGACACGGAGGTGAAGGATGGGAGAGGCTGTGCCCAGCATCCCTGCAGGCCTGGGAGTGTAAGGGATGGGGCTCCGAGCCCTCTGAGAGGCACTCAAGACATGTCCATCAGGACTCAGCCCCTACCTGCAGCCACCTCTTTCTTCTGGGTCTATTCAAACTGCTCCAAGCAGGAAAAAGCTGCTTTTTCCCTTTGATACCTGCTGATTTAATTGCAGTGCTTCGCTTCATGTGCCTGCCAGGAGAGCCCCGGCAATACCTTTCTCTCCTGGGGATACAGCCTGGAGCAGCGGGTGCAGAAGATCAGCCTGGGAATTAGCTGCCTCCACTTGGGAAGAAGGCTCAGTGCAATGGCTTAAAGCCAGGCAGACATTAGGAGATAGTGCTGAAGGGCTGCCATGCATTCATTCCTCTTGCTTACTCTTGAGAAACTTTCCTATGCAAAGAAACCCAAGGAAAAGAGCCTCCAAACCCGGCTGCCTTCCTCCCCATCTGTTCCTTTTGCTTGACTCACAGATTCCCAGGTCTGTGCCTTTCCCTGCAGTGCAAACAGCCGTCCCACAACTGCTGCATCACGTCCTCCCTTTCCAAACAGCCCCCAATAGCCCATCTGTTCCAAAAGATGTTTCTTTGCAGACATACGAAGCTTTTAACAACACAATACCCTTTAGATAGCATCCAGGTTTTCTAGCTAGCACATTACCTACCCTAAATGAGACATATATAGTATAAATTATATATAACATGCTGAGGTGGACCAAAAATGGGCAAATATTCCCAATAACCCCATACATGTCTCAAGCTCCTGCATTCAAATATCAAGGGGCAAAGCAGTTGAATCTGTTGTGCAATAGTTTATGTATATGATTTTAATTGCAAATGAGCACTATAATTAGCATGTACATTTCTTGAGCTGTGGCAGTGGGATGTGCTTTAACAGTGAGCGATACTAACCGACTCTAAAAGGCAATGGGATTATAATGTTCTTGTTTTGCAAGCTGTATGGTGACTAAATACACTTGTTCTGGCAGCAAAATGAACTGGAATGAACGCTTCCAGCTACATCCACCCCTAGAAGAGGGGTTGCTGTAGATGAACTTGAGTTAGAAAGCCTGATTTCCAGGTCATTATTTCTGGCAGTTGGGTACCAGAGGATCAGAGAAAGATTTTCTTTGCAGTATTTAATGGGTGAGATGGTAATCATGGACTCATGTGCTGCAAATATGTGATGAGATTCACTGGGCAATGAAATCCTGTGATATCAAGTCCGCTACTAAAAGCAGGACCATTAGCTTGGACTGTGGCACACATCTAGTTTTTCTTTACCTGGAATCTTTAGTTCCTTCATCAGGTTTATCCCATGCCCAGTCCCTAATGGAGCACACTCCCTTGCTCCTTTTTCAGTTTCAGGTAGTTGTAGGCTGCTTTTCTGCATGAAGCTAACTGTGCTACAAATGTTCCCAGGCATAAATACAATCCTACCGCTTCTGCTGCCATTTTACCCCGTTTCTGACAAGTGTTTTAGGAAGTAGTTGGCACATTACTGGTCCTTTTGTTCATATGGGGAGACTGAAAATGATTCAATACAGGCAAAAATGTTGAACCAGATCCCAAAACCCAGGCAGCCCCAAGCCCAAGAAGCTTCTCAGGTGGCAGCATAAGTGGAACTCTTCACCCTCCCTCTTCTTGGGGCAGAAAACACAAGTGGAAGGCAGTTTGATGGGAATAATCCTCATTCAGTACTGATGCGGTAGAGCCTGAGTTTGTCTTATCTGCACAGTAACCAAGCAAAATGTATTATGGCAGAGAGCACAAAGACTTGTGCTGGTTTTGGCTGGGATAGAGTTTATTTTCTTCCCAGTAGCTTGTATGGGGCTAAGTTTTGGATCGTGCTTAGCTGCTGGCTGGTGTTAAACCACAACAATGTTTTACGGGGAGGAGGGAAAAGCCACACTAGAAACCACTGCACTTCTTCCACTTTGGTGGTTGTTTTATTTCTTCTGCTTTGTTACAATCACTTTTGCTCTGACATAAAAAACCCTGGCCAAAGGCAAAGTTTAGTTAAGTTTAACAGTGATTCCATCTGCACTGATACACTCTAAACATCACTACATGCAGCTTCTGAAAACAAACTGGTCAGACCCTACAGGTTGCTTTGCCTGACACAGGAAAATCCTCCTTCCACACATGTGCAAACACCCCTCAGTTTGACAGAAACCAGTTCCACCTGAGTGTTTCCATGCTTAGCTTTCATTAGTTTTAAATCACTTTCTTTCCATGGACCCTTCATAACTGGTTCATGCTAAGCTGCACCACTGTGATCCTTTTCAGCCAGCCTGGGCATCCTCATGAATCACAGGAACACTAATAAGTGGATAGGTGCCATGAGGAGAATATACTGGTTGCAGAACTGGGAAGCTCCAGGCACCTGTATTTCCAGAGCTCTGGAACAGAGGCAGTGCATTGCAGACTGGCTATTATTAAGGCACATGGGGAAAAGAACAGTTTATCACCTCGGGCAATTCATCTCTCCGAGTGAAACATTCTGTGCCAGTAGTAGACGAAGGTTGGCGAGTTGCTGGCCCCTATCACTATGAGCAGCAGCAGGTACAGCAGCATCATTACGGCAAAACGGTGGGTGTGAAACCAGGAAGATTGACTAGAAGGCCTGGAAAGGGAAAAGGGTATGAATCCTGTCAGAGATGCACAAACACCCTGGCAAAGAGGGTCTTCTGCTATGTTAAACGGTGATGCTAGTGCAATAAAACCAGAAAGCTGTTCCACAGCCCCTGGAACTGACAAAACCTGATTCCTCATCCCTTTTCCCCATGTCTCCATGCATAATCCTGGTCTTTCTCCTCATGTTGACACCCTTCTCTGTGGTTTGGAGCTGTCACTGCCTGGCCTGTGCACACGTGTTGATTAGCTGGGTGAATGCTGCCACTGAGCATAGATAAGGGCAGAGTTAAATCTGCCCTCGTCTGAGCTGCACTCATCGGAGTTTCACTCTTGGTATCCTGCCACAAGCAGTATCAGAGCTCTCACAAACACCAAGTGCTTACAGCACTGGTGAAAAAGCACATTTAACTGAGCCTGAGAGCATCAAAGAGTGAGACAGAGGCAATGTGATGCTGTAAGCCCTATTTCCACAGGGAACAGGCTGTAAACAAATCCTGGCAGTGCAGTGTATCTTCCTTGCTTGTTTCCTGTTGTGTTTCAAAACTGAGATGTGTTTATCTGGCTGTTACAGCATGCTCATCGCTCCAGCCAGCCGAACACTTACCTCCTGTGCTGCTTCTGCGAATAGACCAGCAAGTATTTAACTCGTAAAAGCTCATTGTTTGTGACAACGAAGTACTTCTGTGGTACATCACCCCCTTCGCTGTTTCTCACTCTTGCTCTTTTTCTGTCTATTTCTTCTGAATCTGAATGGGAAAAGAAGAGGTCTTTGGGGGAAACAGAAAAGCAAAAACAGATACACAACCAACTCCCCCTCACCCCCACAAGAACGGGAATGAGATAACCAAAGACCCACTCTTGGAATTCCCCTGAATCCCTCAGCATCCAAGAATAGACTGAGAAGTTTGTTTGAGGCTATACCACTCCTTGTCATCCTTGGTATGGATGGCATTATGGGCAGACCAGGGTGGTGAGGGGGCAGGACTCCCACCCACAGGGTGCTTGAGGAGCTGCTAATATTAACAGGGGAAGAAAAACAACATG